CCTGCACACATCATTAAGGAGATCTCTTCCTGCACCCCTCCTCCCCCCCACACACAGGGACCAGCAGGGGTTCCCCTGCTTTCACACACAGGGGATCTCCCTCCTTTCTTTGTACAGATGCACGCTCATACTGATAGGAAGAATCCCCTTGCACACACCATTAAAGAGGTCTCTTCCCTTCCCCCCTCCCACATACATGCACACTGCTAAGAGGATTTCTCTTCCTCTGTGTACACAAACACACTCTCCCCCATCCCCTTCCTGCACAGTCCCACTCCTGGCCCCTCTATTACTGAATTTCTGGTTGCTCTTATGTTGTACCCCTTCTCTGCCACCCCAGCTTTGCTCAGGGGACCTGGATTCAACTTCTGTCTCCAAGCCCTTCTCCCATTATTTTACACTGTCCTGTGTCAGGTTGCTTTCATTTATTATCTCTCCTCCCTCTTTTTTTTTTTTGCTTCCTCCACCCCCAGCCCAGTCCCTCACCCCTTTTTATCCTTCGTAGAAGGAGTGGAGAAACCAAAATGCTTTAGTTTATGAGAATATCTAAAATGATTGCACTATTTGGGGTGGGGGAGATAGGAGTAGAAATCTTTCATCTATCTGTTAAGGATGGGAAACAAATCAAGAAACTAATGCGGGGATAAGATATGAGAGGTGGGTGTCAAACTGCTGTGAATAAAAACAGAATCCTCTTCCTAGTCCCTGTGTGTGTGAATTATGTTTCAGATGACATACAGCTTTCTAATCACTGTGCAAGAATTATTTTTCAATGGCTTGCTTTGCTAGCTAGATCACTTTTCTGTTTTGTCTTCCTGTTGCCTTAGCTTGGGCAGAAAGTTAGGTGGGCTTTTACAAGTGCAGTTATGCTGTTAATAGTTTTAGTTGTTTTAAAAGTATCCCTTCCAATTTAATAGAGTTGCAGACAAAACCCCTCAAATAGGCAGTCCCCCTTTCCCGCTGCTATTTGCGCTCGGCACTGTGTGTTTTTTAAGTCTAGACATAGCTGTGTTTTTAATCGAACCCCTGAACCTGTCTTCAGAAATTGACATCACATGGAAACGGCCAATTGGCTAGCTAGCTCTGACCGACTTTCTTTTTCCACACAAATCCCTTCAAAGGGTTGTTTACCCTAACATCCTTTTGAAATGTAAATCTGGAGTGCCAGCAAACTCAATTTAGATTAATATAATTACCTGCAATACACAAATGAGGCTATACTCTTTAATAGCCTTTACTTACAACTTTTTTTAAAGATCAAAAAGACTCCTATTGTTAAAGTTTAGTACTACAGCAATTAAAAGATGCCTCTGTGATCACGCCACTTTTATAACTTTTGGGTTAAGCGTGTGCGTACCCCTTCTTTCTTTTGTCAATCTAAAAATGATCAGAGACAATCATGCTTCATATTGAAACTGAATAATGTTTTGATGTGGTATCTTAGGGAAAGTAATTTTACAGCTTGTTCTTTTTTGTATTTCTGAAAGGTGGAAAATAACACTGTCTGTTTTGTTTTAGGCTTTAAGGAAATCAATACTCAAACCAGTACACCGCCACTAAGTCAGCCTAAAAGGTCAAAAAAACGTCACGCAAATTTAACACTGGATAAGATGATGGAAAAATTTCTGCAGCAAAGCGTGGATACAGAAGAAAAATTTTACAAATATGAAGAGCAGCGGTTGAAAATTGAGGACAAGCGCCGTGAAGCTGAGCATGCTCGTGAGCTCCAGATGTTACAAATGTTGGGACAGATGTTGGCAGGAATTTCTTCTACAGTATCACAGAGGTCTCAGTCTATACCAGCTAGTCCACCTCAGAGAGCAAATCATCGCTCGTATGGAGATAACTTTAATTATAATGCTATGACAGCCACACTTTCTCCGCCGATAGGTACTTAATTCTATCGCCTAAATAAGATCTAACATTATTTTTAAAGAATATGTGTAACCACTGGTAGTAGCTTCTGAAAATAAATGGATAGTTGGAGTTTTGTGATGTTGTGGTGATGGTTTTTCATCTAATGTAAAATGAATGAAAATGTCACGCATGTCATTGTACTGCTTTTTTTTAAACAAAATAGATAAAGAGATATAAGTATATAGATATATGCTAGCTATAAAAAAAAATAATGATGACCAAAGTAACAACTTTTCAAAAGTATATCATAAGCACCAGTGAGTTCAAGTCATATTCATATCTCTGTAGAATGCATTTAGGAAAAGTTTTATGTAGATGTGGTGTGGAGTTTAATCTCTGAAAATTGGCAGTTGAATGAAATAATAGAGCACTTAAAGTACATTTAAACTTTTTATTTTTTTTAACTGAGAAGTATTTGGTGTCATCCTAGTTGAAAATAGGTACTCAGAAGCAACCTAGAAAAACAATGCGTACCGACGTTTTTAATGAGGTATATAGTAAAAGGTCTGTCAACCTTGAAAGCTTAAACCGATATGATGTACCAAGTTTGTAAGACTTCAGGTTACAAACAGCCAGGGTTTTTGCTTTGTTTTTAAAACAATCTAGTACAGTTTAAAAACAGTGAGAGAGTCCAAAAAATATAATGTAGGTATGTAGCAGAAATCCAATTTTGTAAGCCAGTTTTGGCTTTCGAGTGGCATCTAGGAACTTGGACTGTATAGACACTGCAAGCAGCCAGGTAAATAACAGTCCCAGTCCGACATTTATCTTCAAACTACCCTTTAGCATTAGTGGAGTTCTGATTACACAAGGAATGAATATTCAGGCCCGTAATAAAATAAGTTGATACTTCCTTATCATACTGATTAGATAACTGGGCTGCTGTGTTATAAATCCTTAATGTCAGAAATCTAGTTTAATGTGTAAATGATGGTATATCTACTGGTTCTGTTTCTTTAAAATAATTATTTGATTGAAATGTATTAGGAAACAGAATACAGAAAACTTCCTAGAATACTAAATCGTGAACACAGTACATACTTAGCTGTACCATTTCTTCTAAAATGCATTTGCTTTTAACCTGAAGGACTTTCTATTAGCTGCACAGACCTGGCACCAAGATCCTGTTTCTTCTAATATGTTTGAAGATATAGGTGTGTAGTTGTGATTTTATGTTGCAGAAAGATAAAGTGAGACTTCTAACTTCTAATCATGAAAGGCTTAAAAGAAAAAATGTAATAAAGTATATTTTTAAAAGAAATATTTCAGACATTGCATCTGTTTTTAAGGCTTTGGGACCTCAGTTGTTTGTATCTAAAGTTGCGCTGAAATGTTGAGAGACAATCAAATCCAATCAAGAATTACTTTCCTGACTAGTTTATTGCACTGTCCTTTCTTTCTGTTCTAAGACGTGGTGTTTGTCTTTTAAAACAAAGGAAAGTGGGTTTGTTTTTTTCAGCAGCCATGGTACTTTGCGGGTTGTGATGTGTGTGAGATATGTGTATTTCTTGTAGACTTTATGGTAGAAAACTGGGAAGTGCATAAAGTGTGGAGTGATTTGAAGGAAAAATCTGTCTTATTTCTAGAGGAGAGATGAGTGCTTTGTTATACTCTGGATCACTGCAATGCTATTTTGGCCATGCTCCAAGAGGGCTACTTTTTGATCTCAGTGAGAGAGGAATGCCTGTATTATAGAAGGATTTCCAAAGCAGGAGATCAGCTAGAAGTATTTATCATTATTGAACACTAAAGCATTTTTTTGGTAAAGATTAGCTAGCCTGGTTTTAGAGTACAATTCTGTAGAGGTCAGAGAAAAAGAGTGTTTTTTTGCTGACAGAACATAATAGAACCTAAATTAGGAGTATTCCTTTTGGTTACCAGAATTTTTTTTCCAGTGTTGGGTGTCAGATTTTTTAAAATAGTTCTTGGTTTTGCTACTTTCAGACTTGGGATAGGAAGGGAAAATGCCAAGTGTGATTTTGCACAGATGAAGCAAGAGAACTTTATTGTCTTTTTGATCATTCTGCATTAGCTTTTTAAAGATCTATAAAAGGATACTACTATGGACATAGTGTCTTCAGCGGTCAAATTGTGGAATTTGAATGTGTGTGTTTTTCCAATCAGAATTGTAAAATTGAACTTTAGTGAGAAATTTTGTAAAAGAATGCAGCAATAAGGATTTGTAAGTTAATCCTTGTGACCTAACCTTTATATATTTATTGCATTCTTTTAGTTAATATATTGTTAAATTTTGTCTTTGTACTGCCCTTTAAACAGAACAAATTTATATTTGCGTAAACTTTCTGCTTACTTTATTCTTGTTACTATCTGAATATTTCTTTTCTAAAAAGTCTTATAAAGTTGGGATAGTAATTGAATACTCAGCTCTTTCAGTCTTCAGTTATTCTAACATACGGCTTAAAATGTTAATGATTTAAGTAAGGGAGTTGAGAGGCTAAATTATTATTAAAAATAATATTTTGCATGACTAAATGCTTTTCACATAACCCTTCTTAGAGCTTATTACCTTCTGTAACCATCTACCAAAATAAAAAACACTGCTTAGGCCGTGATTCTGCGAAGACCTTCTGCAAAGACAAAGAAAGAAAATCTTTCAAAAGTTAGCAAGTTAAGGTGGACACTTTTATTCTGTACCAAAAGTTTCTGTATGATTTACTTAATCCACTTCCAAAGTGGATTGGACAAATGTTCTTACTATAGAAGAAGAGTGCCTACATGGAGAGTTATTTCTCAGTAGCTATTCTGGGGTACTTTCCCATGTAGAAGAGCCACAATGTTAATCTTTGACTAGTCAGTGGGAATAGTCACAGGATCAGATCCTAAATCAGTATATTCAAGTCGTTATGTATTTGAGGCCTTTGAAATAAGGACATAAATCTGTATCCTGTTAGAGTATGGCAAAAGCAATATTCAGTTTCTTAGAAAAAGAACTGTTTCTATGTTGTAAATGCTTCTGATTTAGAATGCTAATGCTTCTGAATGTGAAGAAAAGCTGCTGACACTTCTGTCAATTATAAAGAAACATTTTCTTTAATAATTATTTAAATTTCTTTCTTTTTCAGTTATAGAGAGATCCTTCTCGTTACACAAAACGCATTCTATAAAGGATATGGAGAATATTTTTCAGTTGGTGCGCAATGTAATCCCTCCTCTAGCAGGAAAGAAGCATAAGGGTCAAGATGGACGTATAGGCATCATTGGAGGATGTCAAGAGTAAGTTAAACAGTACAGGGGATAGTTCTGGGATCTCAAGCACTTGGTTCACAACTCCTAAAAAACATTTCAGTTCACCTTCATATTGGACACATTTTTATGGAGCTATTAAACCAGAGTTTCTAAAGTGGGCTTTGCCAGTCCATTATCATCATTTAGGTATGCTTACCAAAGAATACACATTGGTCTAAGGCAGCAGTGCAAGGCTTTACCATTATTGTAGTTGAAATTCAGTCATTTGAGTCTGATATCTGTCCACCTCCTCTCTTCCTTCCACCCTGAATCCCTTCATTTTCAGCATCAATTACCTTTTATGTTGCGTGACTGAAGCTTCTTGGATAAGTAGGGAGAAAAGAATAACAAAGTGAAACATCTGCTGTAAGGTGATCCTAGTTAGATGGAAAACTCCTGACTGTTTCTGGATTTAGGAACTACATCTTGGCTACCTGGTCAGAGTTCCTAGTTTGGAGATAGGTGACCTTCTGAGACTGTTCCTTATTATTTACCTATTCAACATGTAGCACATGCCATCAGTAATGTCACTGCATTGCAGGGAACTCAAAACATCCTGGCTGGTTGAATAGGATACTGAACCGGAGTTCCAGTTCAAGCTCTCTGCCAGTGATCTCCTGTGATACTCCTGGGTCATTTCACTTCATTGGGTATCAGCTTCTCCATTTGTAAAGGAGCTGAAACTTTCTGTTGTAAAATGCCTGGAGAAATTTTTACATATATTCATACATACCATAACTAGCTAAAGCTGTTATGGTAAAGGTTTACTGGCTGGATTAGCCGTAGTTTTGTAACTCGCATTTCTTGGTCTACTAGAGCAAAAATGTGTCCTGCAAGTCATGTTGCAAGGCCCTATATTAGTACCTATGCTTTTTCTGCGTCAGTTTCCTGAGAGGATTGAGGCTCTTATGTGTGCAAGTGCTTTGAATTGACTCTCTCTTTGTGGTGTAATCCTTTTAAACATCTCTAGCATGAGAGCAGACTCATGGCCTTACTGAATTCACTTGGAGATTTGCTATTGACTTTACTATCCTTAGTAAATACATAAAAATAGCAGTAGTAGTGAACTTTGCTTTTTCATTTGAGTTTTCTCTGTGGGAGGATGAATGATTACCAGCCTGTTGATGCACTATACAAATCTGTTTCCTAACCTAGTATATGTTTCATTTGTAGGTACACAGGAGCACCGTATTTTGCTGCAATTACAGCTCTCAAAGTGGTATGTATTTTCCTACCTTCATACATAGGCCCTTTACATAGATCTATATAAATTAAGTGGCATTTACTCTGAGTGAGAGTTTAATGTTACTAGAACTGCTACTTTTCTAATCCCTTTTTTTAAACAGTTGCCTTTCTGCTATGCTCTTGTTCCTATTCCTAGAAATAACATTTTTAAACATTATGTTCAAAATGCATTATATTTTCAGTAAGTTCTTTGTTTAATCTGGAGGTGACAGAAATCCTCAGCTGAGCTACTCTTTGGAAGTATAAGTGCATACATCCTTCATAAGACATTAAGACCCCAGTCCTGCTGTTTGTTACTAGTGGGTAAACTGCTGTGTCCAAATAGAACTTGTAGTCAATGGGACTCTGTATGGGTATAACAGTATACTAGAATTTTAAAAAAAAGCAGTATCAAGCCTTTAGATATTTGAGTGCTTGGAAAACATGAAATATTATTTATAAATCAGAGTAGCCATTAGTTGGATATTCTCTTCAAACATATTATTTCAGCTTGCAATGTTTACAGCATGTAAAGTAGATATGGTAATCAGATACTTTTTGGATATTTATAAACATGCACAGAACTGATTTGATGAGGAGGGGAGTTGTTGTAGTAGTAGCAGTAATGAAAGAAACTTAGGACTAAATTCTGCTCTGCTGCTCATGGGTATAATTGAACTGGAGTAAATGAAATTACATTTACACATTACAAATTTAATCCATTAAGTCAAAAAAGAAGGAACTGAGAAAAGACTTCATGAATCAGCTAGTCTGCAGAAATCGAGTACAGTGTTAATTTTCATCTGTGCTGTAGCCCATTTCTTAGTTTGCTCTGTTTTTTGTTGTTGGTTTAATTTTCTTTAAATCTTAGATTTATATACTTGAATAAGGGTTTCAATATGTAGCCTTAAGTTTTCTGAGTCTTGTTTTCCTATCATTCTGTTAGTAAGCAAGTATTTCTTTAAAGTTTGTTATGTACTATGAAAGTTAGAAATAAAGCAGTTGCTTAACCTGGTATTCAACAGAATTGAGAGATTTGTGTCAGAATAGAAAAGTTGCCAGGTTTGCTTTTGTTAACAAGCAATAAGAATTCTGGTGGCCAATGAATAGCTATTAGAAAAATTGTTCAGAGTATTCAGATATAAATTGATAATTCTGTTTGCAAATTTCTTTTGTAGGGTGCAGATTTATCCCACGTATTTTGTACCAAAGATGCAGCAACTGTAATAAAGTCATATAGTCCGGAGCTGATTGTTCATCCAGTTCTGTAAGTGACATTTGTGTAAATGAACATGTTAATGTTACTAGATTAAATAGTTCAGTGTGATAGTTCGCTGGTTTACATTACTTCTCTTCCTGAACCCTGTAGCAGGTGATCTAGCAGCAATAAAGATGGCTTGTTTTCATTTTTTCATTTAAGAACGTGCAGAGATTCTGGCATATTAAAGCCATTTGTGGCAGGGGGATGGGGGGTTTAATTATTAAAACACAAATTTAAAAAAAGGTTAAAAAGAGTTTGCTTTTTTGGCAGTTGCTGACATGCATTTGTGATTATAAGGCACCTAAATGAGACCAGTGGCACAATCCAGAAATGAGGATGATACAAGTTAGCATTTTAGAATCTGGTTTTAAAAAGACAGAATAATACACCCTTCAAACATCTTTCTTCTCATTGTTTTCTAGTAGTCTGGGTTTTAACATACTGAATTACTATGTGAGAAACTGTTTTAACTTTTTGTGATTTTTGTAAGCATATATTTGGATATGCTAGGCAGATCTGTTCCTGGGTAGAAGTGGGTACTCTGATCTGAAGGTGTAAAACTTGTCTTAGACCCCAGGCCAGATCCAGACTGTGGATGCATTAGCAATGGCTGTGACAGTGGTGTTCTGTGACTTGGATGTGGCCTTTGCCCTATGCTTCGTAAGATGGGGAGCTGGAAAGTGGGACTTTTGTTCTCACAAGCTGAGAGAGATGGTTTTGCCTACCTATGAAGATGTGGGCTAGAAGCGGTGTGTGGCAACCAGAAGCAGATCTGGTACTTGGCAGAGCCTCTTTATGGCCAAAATGCAGAATAAATAGTGGTAGAAGGTGTGAACTGGGCTGCAGAGGGAGGGTTATAAAGGTAGGTTATAAAGGTCCAATTCACTGAAACACAAGCACTAAACAGTTGTGTGCTTTCTTGGCTGCAAAGCATACTGGGCTGAATTTTAAGGCACCACCGCACAAGGCCTTGTATACCTGCATATGGTTGTCTGACCCATCGTCTTGGCGAATGGAGGCAGTGAGCCTGCTCCCCTTTCTGGGGGAGCAAGGGTGAGCTGGAAAGGAGCTGAGTCACAGTAACTATGTTTACAGAGTCCCTAAATATCCATGTTTCTAATTGTAACTTTCCCATTTACTTGGGGATTCCATTAAAGATGTTATCACACCTTTAGAAAGGACTTGCTGATTTTCTTAATGCATTTCCAGGTTAGCCTAACTAATATTGCTGCAGAACAGAGAGTTTCTTGTTTGGGAATTGAAGAGTGTGCATGCTGTGGAATTTGGGTCTTTTATGCAATGGAGCACTTGTAAGCTTGTTTGTGGGAAGCAGAAAGATGTACTTCAATACACAGCACTCAGTGACAGTCATATCTTTAGTAGGTTTGGAGTGTTGTAGCTATGATGATCCAAGGAATATGCAAGAATTGAGGGCATTCTTAGTGATATTTTTTGATTGGATCAACTACATAGTTAGAAAAGATGTTAGACAAGCTTTCGGCCACAAAGTGCCCTTTCTCCGGGCAGCCTGTCTATCATTTATCCCAACAATACAATTGGTTCAGTAAAAGATATCAGTAAATATCACTAAATATGTTAGTCAAAATGTGGTGAATTGAGATTTGAGACTGCAGGGCTAAGTACAGTAAACAGTCAAAAAGCCTTAGGCTGAATCGATTCAATCTTCGCAAGTTAGTCTAAGCTGCGTAGATTGAGCTGATATGCAAGTGAACAGACATTTGCTTTTGATTCTGGAAATGGAGTCACATACCTGTAGTGGCCCAGACCAAAAATCTGGGCGGGCGCTACAGCATGCCTCCCTGCTCGGACAGAGCAGACAGCTTGGGCCAAGTGTAGACGTCACCCCCTGCCAGGGGGGTTTTACATGGGAGGTGCATGTGAGTTAACTTGAAGCTGAAACGGATCTGGGACAGTTCAGTAAATTGATTTTTCACCTAAATCAGTTAGGTCTGATACTACATCCACCCAGGTTTAACTTAAACCAGTTTTGGCCATTTTGAAAGCGATTTTTGTGCGTTGAACTTCTGTTACTGATTTGGACTGGTTTCTGATAACTTAGCTGGTTTATGTGTAATTTGTGTCGCTAGCCCAGAAGTACATTCAAATGACTTGCATTTCAAACAACTTTAACCTTGTAGCTTGTGAATGCTACAAGTTGGTTCAAGCTTGTTTACCACACATTTGGACCGAAATGTGATTAAAGCAAGGTTCCATCTTAAGCTGTGTTTAAAATGATGATATAAATAATAATGATGATGATGATGATTATGCACAAAGTTGTTAGCCTTAGTAATGTTTGTGAAGTGGCCAGGGCCTTCTGATGTTGTTGACAACTTGACTTGACCATTCCCAAACAGTATGTTCCCAGAATCCTATTTGTAGTTTTACATGAGTCACGAATCCATAGGTGGATCCATAATTTTACAGGGGGTTGGGGTACAGAACCTGCTACACGGGAGTGGTTGCGACCAGCTTTACCCCTTTCCCAGTCTCACCCCCCTGCTCCCTCCCGCCTTGCCCTCAGTAGTGATGCCTCTGGGTGTAGGGAGGGCTGTTTCAGCTGCTCCAGACAGAGCTTCAGGAAATGGCTAGGTGGGAAGCTGGGTTCAGGATAAGAAAGTGGCAGCAGGAGGTGGGTTCCCCAACACCATGCCTGCTCCTGGATGGCAGGGAGCAGACAGGGAAGGGGAGCCTGCCTGCTGCTGCTGCTGTCCCAAACTGAGCCTAGCTCCCTGTTGCAGCCCAGTTGGAGCACTTTCTGCCTCATTGGTCAGGCTAGGACAGTGGCAAAGTGGATGGGGGACAGGGGATTGAGGGTGGCAGACAGCTCCTGCTGAGCTGGAGGGAAAGGGACGGGGTGTTGAAGGGAGGAATTCTTACCTTCTGTGGGGACTTATATTTAAGTCGCTAGCTGATGCTCCCACAGTGTACTGTAGTCTGAAAAGGGGTGAGACTGCACAATTGTTTCTTCTCTGGTTCTGTTGCTTTGTGAATATCCTCTTGCTTTTAGCCTGAGCTGGGGATTGGTTTCTATGCTTCTACGTGCGCGCGCGTGTGCGCGCGTGCGCGCGCACACACACACACACACACACGTGTGTTTTATGATAAAATAATCCATAATATGCATATTATATTCCCCCCAAATGGGAGTGCACATAGATTTTACTTGGGAAATATTTGTATTTTAAATAAAGGATTTTCAAACTAGTCATTTTCCTTTTCTGCTTGAACCTGAAATATGACTGTAATCCTAAATTTGTGACTTGATGACAACTTACTTATGAAAACTGTTAAGATTTAAGATTTATGGAAGAAAGAAATTACAATGAGCAGACTCTTGTTAATACATTTTCAGAATCAGTAAGATAGACAATTAAGCAAAATACATTTCTTGTTTTTAAGGGTTTTTTTCAAGCTTTACCGCAATGTAGCATTTTTGCAGCTGTTAATGATTTGAAACAAATTTGTTAATTGTTAACCATTGGGCTGACTTCCAGTTGAGGTCAAAGTGTCTCAAAGTCAAGACAAGCAGTCTTGAAAGAGACTGAGAATGTCTAAGGCTGGGGGTGGGAGGGAGAAAAGACTTGGAGAGATCTGGCAGAAGGCTGGCTCTGCTCCAATATTACTCAGCTATTATCTTTGATTAAAAGAGTCTGTCATCTAAAAAAATCACATGTAATATCATATCTGTTCACCATTTGGATTAGTAATCATCAGGGATCCTGGTTTTCTCTGATAAAAAATAATCCCCAATTTTCAGATTAAAAAAAGCAACTCAAAATCTACATTTTTCCATGATTAAAATGAAACACCACTATAGATAGATAGATAGATATTGGTGGTATTTTGGGTTACTTTTTAAATCTAGAAATTGGGGATTTTTTTAATCAGAGAAAACAGAGAATTAATTGCTTTAGACTGTCTCCCAAAAACTGTATCAACATATTTATGCTCTCTTACCAAGTGCATTAGACCTGCTCTTTTATTTACTAACAAATATCTTAAATACAGTATTATAAACTCCAAACAGAAACAAACTAATAATGTTATTGCAATGCAAGAACCACATTTTACTTCATGAGTGTCTTGGTTGTAGTCCCACTGCAAATATGGTGGATGTATGTGCTTGAAACAGAGCCCAGTGACTCTGTTCAGTGTTCAGGATTGGAGCTACACTGCTAACCCAAACAGTGCTGCCAATTTGACAGCAGCTGTGAAAGGGTTAACACTAGTTTTTGCTGACAGCAGAGTGTTTTGTGCCTCTGTGGTCAGGACTGAGCCATGACTCTGGAAAAATCTTTTTTTCTTCATTTACCTTGGGGTTATGTTGTATGCAAGAGAATACTGTATTCTTACCTTACTGTCCTTCCTACCATCCAAAGGAAAAAATTAGATGTCTTGTAGGATGGGAGGAATGATGTTCCTTTTGGAGTCCCCCATCAGATTCCTGAACACTTACTAGGCTACTGTGATAGAGTTCCAACCCTGGATCTCTTTATTAATATATTTCCTGAGCTGCAGGCATTGCTATTAGCTCCAAGTTCCCTGACTTGGCTTTCAGTTTGTTTGTTTTTTTGAGTAAGAGAATATAATAGAGGAATTCTTCTGTTGTAAAGGAATTGGAAAGACCATAGTGGTACATCAGAATGATTTTGATATTATGTATTCTTATTTCAATTCTCTATGTTTATTTTGTGAGTAATTTGAAGGTGTTTGCACACCTAAGAGTGCTAATATTGTGCAGCATCCCGCAGCACCCTTACAAGGATCTCATAGCACCCCAGGGTTGCTGTGGCACCCTGCCCTGTGGCACTCTGGTCAAGAATCACTTTTCTAATTTGTAGGGACCTACCTAATTTGAGGTGGCTGCCTGACGATTTAATGGGCAGAACACAGGGCCCAGCAGTCATTTCACAGTGGGCCCCCCAACACACTGGGCCGAGGGGCCCCAGTGGTCCTGACCCTGGCTGCTGATTGGCCGCATG